TTGTCTCACTGTTATTCCTGTTGAATTGTTAACAGATCAATTTTTTTCATTTATGTGAGTTAAAACCAGTGTCTCTTTAACCTACTTTCACCCTCATTTAACCGTTTATTTTGCAGGTTCGAACTAATGGTACAAATTTCATTAAAACTGTATAAGTGAATTCGACGTTCATCCCATATTGAAAAGTTAACTCCAGAGTTAAAAAAACCCGTTAACGGAAATAGGAACAGACACAGAGGGAGAGGCTACATGTGTTGACACTTCTTACCTACCTAAAGGGGGGAAAAGAAAGTTTAGCTCTTTAAATATTAACTTTTCAATTAACGGCTTTGTGAGATTAGGACAGAAGAATTTGTTCAGAAGTTAACGTCAATTCCGTACGACGGAAACGTCAGGCTGGAAGAACTAACATGCAACGAGGCTCGCACTCCAGATCCAGAACGAGCAATAAAAGCAATAAAATGTAAAGAAAAGATGGCAGCACGGTCAGTGTAGTGAGTGGTCCTAGCACGATTGGTAGGTGGCCACCGGAGAATCTAAACCGAAGAAGAAGGGTCATCCTCACCCGAATAAAAATGAGCCACGCGAGGTTGACACACCGACTCGTACGTTTGGGCCAAAACCCGCATGTCCGGCATGTAGAGAAAAGTTGCTCGATGTGTCCATAATTGAAGGTATTCCTTGGCTCCATACAGGGAGAGAGTAGGAATGACGACCAATATAAGAATTGAGCTCGAACACGGCTGAGAATCTTTAGACTCCCTGTTCCGATTTTTGGAGGTTGTGTACAGTACTGATAATTTCGTTTTGTATGATGAGAGTGAATGTATTTATTGGCGTAAATGTGAAGTGTAAGAGTGACCCTGAGTGAGTAGTAAATATGTAAGAATGTATTTATGAGTGAGTGAATGGATTTAGGAACTGAACCCTCGATTAGATTAGTTGTTGGATATGTGTAAACTGAAGATAGAATATCGAATATAAAGAGTGATTGTATTTATTAGCTTGAATATGTAGAGTTAGAGGGCTGATGGAGCAAAGTTGAGTGCATCATCACCCTTAGCCCAGATTAGTTATTGGTCACATAATAAGAGTGAGTGTATTTGTGTATTTAGCCTGAATGTAAAGTGTTCGTGGACCTATGGTGGTACATTAAGTCACCCCATCGACCCTCCATTAGATTTTGGGTATGTGCAAAGAGTGATGGAATAATATCAAGTGTTGACATAGAACGTATTTATTGGAGTGAATGTGTAGTGTTAGGGGGCTTACGGCGGACTATTGAGTACCCCGTCGACCCACAATTAGGTTATTTATACAATAGGGGTAAAGGGTGATAGGGGAATAAGAATTTAAGAATGAGTGCGAGTATGAATGGGTTTGAATCTAGGAATGCTGAATTGACCTAGCTGTTGACAGCACCCGGAACCCAAACTTCGGTGGCTGGAGAGATAAAAGGCCTGATCCTGGAGGGCCAAAACCCCGCTGATATTCGAGGCCAGTCGGTAATTTATTGTAAATAACAAAAGCTGGAATTGCCGGTAAACTGCGAGAAGTGAGAGGTCAACATGTATGTATGTATGTACATACATGCGCAGCATTAGACCTATATAAATCCAAATCCAATAGGACAAACTGAGTATTGGGACCGATCAAGATTTTATTGCAACATAAAACATACCTCCTTTAATGTATTTATAAACAACAAAAGGAAAAGGACAAGGATAATTGTGAAATAGTGACGGTGAGAACTACTGTTTTTCGCCCGTGGGGGTCATTGTAAAATGCAGTGGATTTTGAAATTCAAGGAAATGGCAGGGGGACATCAACTTTTGGCTGACGTTGCTATTCCATCGAGTCATCAACTCGTCCTTGCTTGATCGGCAGCTTTGCCTTTGAATCGCAACGAGTGTAAACTGATTTGGAAACAGGCGTAAACGGGAAAATAAAATCACGTAAATTGCATGTTCCGAACACAAAAGAAATTAAATTTCCGAACAATTTTAAAATTTTCACATTGTCCCTGGCATCTCACCATTTTATAAAATAAAAAACCTGATATGAAATCTTAAGATCCGTCACGTCTTACCACGTGGCAATTCACTCCACTGGAACCGTTTTGTTAAGTAAAAGTAATGGAAGAGAAATTGCGCGATAAAGGAAAAATTTATCAGCAAAAATGTCAAAAACAACCCATTCTACAATCATTCCTATAGTACCGTTGTCCAGTACAAAAAGTACTCACAGCAAGAAATACTAAATTTAAAACTTTCTTGTTTCATAAAAAACCAAAAGCGAATGGGGAAAAGGTTGATGAGGATGATTGGCCCCATATTTCTCAAGACGCACCACCATACTATACTTATAATTTTAAACTATTTGTTTTTTTCTAACCTACCAGGTGGCTAAATGTTAAAATCAATATCTCGGAAGCCAGGACACAAAGGAATTCTGGAACTAGCAGTAAGCAGCAACTTTCGTGAATGGAATTTATCCGTGAGTAATACACGGATCGGTTATATTCTGTCCAAGCCCAAAATATTAGCAATGTACACCTCGGTCCTTTAATCTTATCTAAGTTACAATGTCAAAACGTCTGCCAAGTGGGTGGGCAGTATAGATCCCTCACATTTTCTGCATGCGCAATCATACCACCGCAGCGATCGCGAATTTGTTATGTACTCACTAGATATAGAAGAGTTCGTACTGTATGCTTCATATGTATCATCTGTCCAAATATACCACACAATTTCAACGAAACAGAACCATTATTTAGTTAGATATAGTTGTTTACGGGATTTTACGTTTGCGCAAACGCATGAAACACCGTTAATCCGATTGCTACAAAATCCATAGGGGACCTTTTACAAATCGAACTGCATAATCCTCGTAAATTTCATAAAAATCCATCTAATGGGAATTTTGCCGGTTACACGGAATTTACAGACACGGAACCAAATTTCGTCAGGAAGATCTGAAAGGGAAAATGAGAGTAGAAATTTTGATTTTGGAGGATAATTTCTTCGACTTCCCGCATGAATACATGACTTCCCTATTGCTGGTAGTTCGGAGGCAAAAAAAACATCAGACAGCCAATCAGCCTTAAAAGCATTAGCATTTAAAAAAAGATCAAGCCAGTGAATGCATCCATTAGGATATACAGGATTTATAGGATATATAGGAGGCAATACGGCCAAAACTTCACCAATGAACATAAATATCAAAAATTTGATTCAGTTGAAGACTGCAGGTTCAAATAAACCGAAGAATTGCCTCGCCCAGCTTACATCCTTTTTTACATTAAAGTTGTAAATATCAAATGATTCAGAATATCACGATATTTCCCCATATTGAACGTCTCTATTTTTAAAATTATTTTTGGACAAAAAACTATTAAATTAAACAAATTAATTGTTAATTTTATTAGGTTTCGTGGTCCACTTGACCAAATGAAATGGCAAAAAGGAGGGAAAATTTTTAAAAAAGGTGGGGTTGAGATGGTAAGTTAGTGTCCGAGTAGATCGAAGTCACGATAGCTCAAGTGATAGAGCAGCGGCGTATTTAGCCAAAGGTCGTGGGTTCGAATCCCACTCGTGACACTTGCTTTTTTTATCTCAACCAAAACCTTAATTAATTAATTGTTAATTTTTAAATAATTAAAATTTGATTCGTTGTGATTTGGCCTCTAAAGATCATTTTGGCTTGCCAATCTTCACTGCATTGGTCTTCAGACTTTTAGGAATTTTACCACACTTCATCAGGGTTATAAGAAGGATGAGGCAAGACAAAACCACTTATTCCTTCATTTTTTGATGCTTCATATTAACTTATAACAAATGCGTAAAATATGTTCCGGTCCTGCTCATTTTAGTCATCTCGCCTTCTCGAGCATTCAGTCAGGGACGTAAGCAGGGCAAGGCAACAGAAACCACATAACTGAAGACAAATACCAAAAATTTACTTTAGCGTAAGATTTCAAATACGACTGGAACTCTTGCCTATCCCTGCTTATAACCCGACCCACAACCGAAGACGAAATGCCTAAACGCGTCTGACAGACCATCCCAGCATATGAAAACGTTCGGTAACGAGCAAATTACATGTTCATCATCCCACAGACCACACGCATTAATGTGACAATTTAGTTTTCATCCAATTTGAAAAGCCCAAAGTCTTACAAGCAAACATTTGGTCAATGAACTATAACATCAACTTATTGACTGGAATTAGATAATCGCAATGGTATTAATAAGAAGAAAGGCGCAAATCAAGACAAGGGTTGAATCACTTCGCGAAGTTTGAACTTGATATAGGGGAAAAGAATGTGAACCTTGAACCCAAACAAACGCCAACTAACGAACGGGGTAAACTAGCCACTTGCGCCCTTCAATTTTCTGCTTCAGCTGTGAGTGAAGGGTTATAATCCCCCTTTATAAACCATCGCTGTATTTGGGTTTTTCGCCTGGGCCGACATCCACAACCTTTTCCACTCAGGATCCCAACGACCCAATTACCCGAGGAAGTTATAAAATCGGCGATATTTTTGTAATTAATTAATTAATTTTTTTAATGAGGAGTCATAAAACAGAAAAGTCGCTCAGTGAAGGAAGGAACCACAGGTATGGCTGAGTCCTGGTGAGTCCAAGCGATCAATACTCCCTCCCTTGCAGAATGCGGACAACCACCACCACAATAACCTACTTGTTATATTTATTTCCCAACTCGAGACTTAATTTTATTTTTACTCTTGGGTCAATTTTTCGATCAATAGTTCATAATTATCAACCAAAACTTTTAAATGGAATAAACTGACTGATAGGCTTAAATTTTGTGACGTTTATCTCGTCAATAAGTACCGATCAGCACCAATTTTTAAAAAACCCTTTTTCTTTTCCTTTTCGCCATTAAAAAAAAACAATACTGGAACATATCTGGCTAAAATGAACAGTTCAAAAGGATGTGATAGATAAACAAGACGAGACATGATGGTTCCCACTTACCATGTAATTGGGTCAGAGATTGTAGAGCGTTGGTATTGCAGTTGACAAAACCTGCAAAAATATAGAATAGCCGTTGTAATTGACTGTAATAAAAGAAAGAAAAAAAATGAGACAAATTTAAACATTTTAAGAAAAACTTTGGATCCCGGTTGGTATGAAAATGTCAAACAAAAAATCCCGATAAAAAAATGTTGATATTATTAAGTTGTTGTTTTTCTCAAATCGTTTCCTTATCTTAAGAACTTAAGGATCGGTCATTATATATAATTTTTCCTTGATTATATTGACTTTTTTTATCAGATTTGACTTTTCTTTTGCATATTGTTATCCTAGCTTTTGTCCGCCCCCCTTTGTTTGTCTAATAAAGAGGATTTGTAGGTTATATAATAGCGATAATCGTAATATGGTACAGGGCTAATTTGAAACATACAAGTTTTGTCAAAAGAAGCCTAATAAGCCCGAAAGGTCATATTACGTAAGTTGTAAGCGTCACTGACTTTCACATTTCATCTTATCTATATGCCACAGGGCAAAATTAACTCATTTATTATCAGTCATTGAACTGTTATTTGGATTTCCTCAGTGGAATTTAAGTATGGGGTGAAAAAAGGCATAAGTTGAAAAGCATGCGCCTTTAGCGCAGACCCGCAGTGCGCTATCGGCGGTCTCAGCAGAAAACGCTTTTATCAATGAAACTCGTTACAATTTTTTTTTCTTTTTTTATTAAATTGCCAGATCTTCGTACGAATTTTGACAACCGAAAGGTCATGGGTTTTGATCGGGCTTTTAAGAAAGACTTCGCGCCCGGCTTGGACGAGTTTTGATGCAACTTTTCTTTTCAAAACTGGACCGATTTTGAAAGTTACATCACTCCAGTAAGTCTCGAAAGGTCATCGATTATGCTATAAAGAAAACGGACGTGTTACTTAATTAACAACCATTCCCCTGATTCCACCTAGACGCACAAGTACATACGTTAAAATTAAAATTTTAAAAAATATATATAAACTGCCTTTGCTAAGACATATTTATTGATAAAGGCAGTTCGATGTGTAAACCCAAGCATAATACACATCATCGTCAATTAATTGAAATGAAGTACAGTAGCTGAAGCATGTACTGTGCAAAATGACTTTAAAAACACGATCCACATTCTTTACAATCCTTAAACCGAAAAAAAAATCAAAATTTTCTATTAATTCAGAGAAAAATCGATCCAGACACGACTAAAAATCTGACGTCAAAGGCATCGACCTTTCCCACGGGAAGAATAGTTTTAATATTTAAGGATCTTCTGCAGGATAAACGATGAAAAATCCACCTAGTCCAGGATTCTAAATGTAAAGAAATTATTGATTAGGTGTAATACTGTATTGAATGTAGGATGATGGTAGTTCGTAAGGGCGTCACGGGAGGCCTCCACGCTTACCCCCAAGGATTTCCTTCAATGATTATTTTATCGTAAAAAATGACTACTGTGGGTTTTTTTCGAAGGTTGAATTTCCTCCAAAAAATGAAGATAACAGTTTGACAAAGAAAAGATCATAGTTCAATCGATTAAACAGACCCAAAGATGTGCTAGTGTATTTTTGTTGTAGAGCCCCAGGTGTCTTGCTGCATCTTTAATTATAACAACGGTGCAGTTCTTGCCTATTTTAAAATCTGAAAATTGAATCGGGGAGACAATTTAAGTATTTGTCTATAATTAAATTTTTTATGATTTTTTTTTTTTAATGGATAGGTTCTTCGGGAGCACTGCAAGAGGGAGATGGATCGAAATCTTCAGCCTCCGACTGCGCCCCTCCTGACCATTGCCGCCACAATTTTAAAAAAAACCGGCCCTCTTAATTCCCTATTAGCTCGAGATTTTAATTAAATTTTATTTTTTTTATGAAAAAAATTTCATGATTAATAACTGGGTAGATTTGACTCTCTCTTCTTCAAGAGGGCCTATCGAATGATCCTCCTAGGCCTTAAAAAAATAATAATAAATAAACCATAAACCATTTAAATTTGTCAAACTAGGGCTTTGATTTTTTTAATAAGACCTTTTGAAAAATTAAAAAAAAAACTGCCAAAGTCTGCAAAAACAATGTGCTTAATTAATTAGAAGTACTCGGCCGAGTGCTATCAGCGCTATCACGCTGACCCCTTGTACGAACCTGGGGAGTTTTTTCTCCTGTTTTTTTTTTTGTGCAGAATTTGAGAAATAAAGACTAAAATCAAACATAAATTGATAAGAGATAAAAATACCTTTATTGAATAGGGTGTTCCATGGATAAATAACATCAGGTACCTCGACGGGTGCTGTACCGTAAGCTCGAAACATTGTATGATTCTTTTAGCGAGATAAAAATAAAATACACAATCAATTTAACAAACGATCACTGAATGAAAAATTCCCTGTGCATCAACTTCAAAAAGTCTGTGGAACGGATGGACAAAATATTGACACTGTTGAGAAAATGAACGACTATTTTTTTGACCTTCGGGCCGTCGGCTGCACCACGATAATCGCCAATGATTTTACCGAGGAAAAAACCAAAAACAATTTCAATTTGGCCGGTGTCGGTCAAAATCACTCGTCGGGTCGGATTTGGAGTCGTCTCCGATCATACGCGATTCCCAGACACAACAAATAAACTCGGTTGTAACAAAAAAACTTGTGAGATTGATCAGGATGGAAAAGGTTCGATGCGTGTGCCTCGGAGGAAAGTTTTGGGACGACTGAGCAGTGAGCACTGAGCGCAGTAGGGAGAGGATCAGCGGAGTACTGCGAGGAGGGGGCAGCAGAATGACGTCAGACTCATCGTCGATACCTCCACAGCTGGACGTTACGTAGCCTCTATCGACCCATCCTACCTGAATTAACATTTAATCGGGGTACATCTAACATTAACATATGTTCATGACAACAACAAGAAAATCTTTCATGACCGGAGTTTATCAGCATCTGGGAGGATAAGCCGGATGCATGCAGGCCGCTCGCGGGGAAACCGCGCCGTCCAGTTGTTCAGGTATATTCTATGCAAGCTCAAAATATGAGCAACCGGACTCATTAAGGAAGTACATCTCGGTCATTCAAGCTGAAATACAATCTTATCCAAGTTATAAACAAAAATAAGATCAGACAGTCAAAACGATAAAAGCACTAGCATGTAAAAAGGTCAAGTCAGTAAATGCATTCTCCAAAACCTGGTAAAACTCAACAACTTGCAAGGACACAAAGGAGTTCTGGTTGAGAAGCAGACAAATTGTTCGGCACAGAACAAACTCCATCTCAGAATTGGTTCGCAGAAAACAAACGGAAAAGTGGTTGGAAGTATATTTCATGAGGCCTAATCTCTACAGACTAATTAGGGTAAGAAGAAACAAAGAAAAAATCAAGTACATAGTAAATAATGATGGCTTGAAAACAAGAAACCGGATCAGTTTATTCAGTACAAACCAAACATGTGAGCAACCAAACTCATTAGGGAAGTTCAGGTCAACCTTTCATGCTGAAATGCATGCTATCAATGCATCAGAAAATCTTAAAAGAGGATGCACAATATCCTCATAAAATCGGATACCCTGAGAAAACACAAAACTTGACAATACGTTGCGACCCAGGACACCAAGTAATTCTGGGTAATAGAAAAGCAGATAAACCCACCAGAGGAGGATCTGGTAGACCAAATATAGACCCAATCTTGCGGTAACAAGGCCAAATGTGCCAGTGAATGTATCCAAAACCTGGGAAAACATCACCTAGCAATAGGTCAATGGCATTACAGAAAAGTTTGTCGGGTAATGGACAAGACAAAATGGTCAGAGAAGGATCTGCAAAGCCAACCTACTTGGAATATCAAGTTCAAAGACAAATACCTCCATCTAAGAATAGGTGAAGGAAAAACAAAGTGCCAGGCACAGTAAACCCGTGATTAAAGAACTCTCACAAAAACATTGCTACAGTTAAAGAGGGTAAAACTACGGTCACTGGCATCTGAGAGAACACCTCCACACCTTCGTTGTTCATTGAGCCCATTTTAGGTTGTGCTAAGAGGAGGAAAAAACTGCCACACAAATATCTTCGAATGTGAACAGTTCCAGGAAGTTATAATCTAAGATATCAAGAAGACTCTGGAAAAAGAATTGCAGCAATGACAGTCAATACTTCTTAAGCAAAGGATCGAGTCAATTGAACTGACTAGGGAATTAGGAAAAATAAAACAAGCCAATACTTGGTGAATACCAAAACCCCTCCTTTCCAAGTACCCTCATCATCAATATTAACCTTTAAAAAAAACGAAATACCAAGGCATCAGTGCTTGGGGAATACCAAATCCTCGCTTCCTAATATCACCATCATCATCCATACAAGTATGCATTCACGATATGTACTAAGAAAGCTGAAGTCCACTTGAGCATTTCGCCATACTCAGTGGTGTGGCGGGTATAAGCAGGGAGAGTCGACTTATTTTTTATCCCTTTTTAGATTAAAACTGTAAATTTCAAATGATACAAACAGGCTGTCACAATATTTCCCAATATTGATTGTTTCTAGTTAAAAATTATTTTACAACCAAAAACATTAAAATTAATTATTAATTAATTGTTTCGTAATCATTTAGTCGTTTTGGTCTGCCTACCTCTACTGTGTTGGTCTGTCGGACGCTTTTCGGCTTTTCGCCACATTTAGCAGTTGATCAGGATTATAAGCAGAGAGGCAAGACAAAATCTATTCCTTAATTCTTGATACTTTATTTTAACTAAAACAAATGTGTAAAATTTGTTTCGGACCTGAAAATTTTGGTCTCATATGCCAGGCTTTTCATCATCTAGAGCGTTCTCTCAGGGGTTTTTAAGCAGGGTGAGATAGCAAAAACCACACCCCTGAAGATAAATGCCAAAAATTTACTTTAGATTAGATCAAATTCCAATAAATGGAACTCTTGCCTCTCCCTGTTTATAACCCGACCCACCACTGAAGGTGAAATGCCTAGACGAATCTGACAGACCATCCTAGCATATATAAACGATCGGTAACGGGCAAATTATAGGTTCTTCACCCCGCAGACCACATGGATAAATCTGATCCAATTTTAAATAAAGAAAGTCTTACAAGCAAACATTTCATCAATAAACTATAATACCAACTTATTGCCTGGAAGAGATTAGATAACTATTCCTAATGGTATACTATTACTAAGAAGAAAAGCACTTTCATCCGTTGATGGTAAGCAAAGGCAAGGGTTAAAGGATACCGCGATGATTGAACTTGATATAGAGCAAATGAACGAGAACCTTGAACTTACACAAAAGGCAACTAGTGAATAGGGTAACTATAGCTTCACATTCCAGCCCTGCTTCTAAGCTGTTCTATACTTGAAATAGTTTTTCGTAACTGTTTTTAAGATTTACTCGTCGAATGTAAATTGTAATTGTCCAAATGTGGTGCTCAACAGCTTTTCATTTATATTTCTAACGTTTCACCATTTTAGGTTAATTGAGCTAGAAAAGCTACTCTTATGGTACAATGTTGCAATGCTATGTGTGTATAAACCACTGTTTTTAATAAATTTGTCGTTGTTGCAATATTTCCCACCATCTTACCTCACACAAGTTTCTCCGTAAAATACAAGAATTTGGGACTAGATCAGCAGCCAAAAAAATCCATCGTCCCCCAGGAAAGTGTTATAAAAGTCGCTCCTTTACCTTAACCTATAAACGACATACACAAACACCACTATGGCAATGTTCGCCGATGACTTAACAATACTTAGTCATAATCAAAAAGAGCAGACGTCTATCGATAACACTCAAATCCAAGTCTCAGCTATTGAAGAGTCAAATCATAGGCTCATGAAGTTCAACGTCTGGCAGTCATCCCAAACAATATTCATATACCTCAGAAGGTATACAAATCAAATTACTTAGATTCGACTATCCTCCCCGAATCAGATTCCAACATATAAACGCAGGAAAGATAGGCAGACCGAAATGATCTGTACAACCAAGCTATGAGCTCATCACACAAGAACACCTCACTATACATCAAATTTCTTGCTCATATCTACTCTCCAGTTTGAATAATTGGACATTTCCAACTTTAAACAATGTAACTGGGTCGTAGAGATTGATCAGGTTCGAAAAGATTGCAGACGACTACTGCGAAAAATCCGAATACGCCGGAGGACTTTTTAACCCGATTCCTTAGTAGAGTATTCCAACCCTTGATGATGATAAAATGGAATACTAGGAGGGTTTTGTGTTTCACAGGCACTGCAGTCTTCTGGCTTATTGTACTTTTCCTGGTTATGTAATTAATTCAGTTCGCTTAAGAAGCAGGTCATCTCTGCAATCCTTTTCCCCAGACCTTTGTGGTATCCTAGATTACATATCATTGAGCAATTTGCATTCGTAGATGGTATGAGTGGTTCTTTCTTCTTACTCATAGCACTACTTAAAAATGGGGGTTACATCATTGAATTTACTCATGTTGTGTAGGTGGTGTCTAAGATGACAGTGACCACTATATAGACCTATCACTCCCCTGAGTTTTATCCTCTTTAATTGAAGCAAAGTTTGCCAGTTTTGGTCAGGGTTCTTTAATCATGGGTGTACCGCGTCTATCTTCTCTGGAGTTTGTTCACCTTTTGCTATTCGTGGATTTATTCTGAGATGAATTCTCGTTGTTCATCTGAATTCTTTTTCATTGCATAGCCTACAGATAGGGTCTTGTTGAATATACGCATGTTGTGTAGGTGTCTCAGATGCCAGTGACCAGTATAGCACCTTGTTTGCCACATTCTTGTTATGCCAATTAACCGTTCTGGTCCTATAGTCTTGCCGATCCTCAATCCAGTTTGTCTGTGTGTTCACTACCTAGAGCTCCTTTATGCCCTGATATTAAACATAATGTCAGGTTGTTGTTTTCTCTGGATTTGGAGATTTTGGATTACTGGCCATTTTGGATATATACTTTATACTTACTACATTCCTCCCTCATTCGATTACGTCAGTATTCATGTAGCCTCTGTAGAGCGGAAAGCACAACCCAGAACAATAGAATTCATGTCCAATAGAAGGGGTCATGCCATCATGGTATGGTATGTATGCAGTGCTCCCCATGGATGCACCCCTGGTCAGTTATCACCAAAGCGTACCATCGCCGCCATAACTGGGTGATCATCACAATACTTTCACTACTACTTTCAAGTTTCCACACAGAGCTTTATGTCTGTGTCATGTATAAACTCACAAGCTGTCACTTGGCCCTGGTACGATAATCTCGCTGTATTGTACGTACGCATTTTGGCCGTCGTCTTCAGACACGCGGTACATGAACTACAAAGAGGTAAAAAATAAAAGAACTAATTGGGGCGTTTGGAATCCGTCCAAACGGTCTTTAATTATCGATTGTTCTCATGCCTGACAACAGATTTGAAATTTAAAATGAATCCTGTTCGTTTTTGTTTACAATGAATCCGGAGCATGGTTCTTTTTTACATTTTGTCGACATCAAATACTATAACGAACATAACAAAGAGAACAAATACAGTCGGAAACGACATACACTCTCTACACTCTCTTTCTTAGTAAACCGAACTAAACAGGGCGGCGAGGAATTCGCATGCTGAAAAATCGGATTACGGAGGATGTACTCTCCCTTTTACTCGCTCACTCACTCACTCGCTCGCTCACTTACTTACTTTCTTACTCACTCTCGTTCTCTCTCACTCACG